TTAAGATTCTACGGTCCTTCTTCAGGCTACACCGAAAGATGTTTAAAATACAGAAATACATTTTGGCTGACGTATCATAGTAACACTGACTTCATGTTTGTTTCTAATTTCACTGGGCGTAGTAAGCATAATCCATTCACATAAGTAACACACAGATGTAAATTCATGCGTAAATGTGGACTCTCGTTTCATTACATCAAATCAAAGTCCTTGCTTATTAATTAATCTAATTAATTGCACGACATACCTCAATGGCGCACATATACTTCCACAAGCTACGCAGTTTTACTCGTTTTACTGTGGGAACCCCCCGCCGAAGAGACAAAAATCGTCCAACGGAAATTTAAGATCCTCTGATTGGCTCACACTTACGCGATTTGATTGAATGCGATAGGTGTATAATGATCGATTCCAGTCATTACCAGACTACGTAGTTCATGTAAATGTTCTTAGATGGCTGGTCTGCATGTTTCCCTCTCCCCTATGGCAGTTACACCCCCCTGCACCTGGATACCTAACAATCTAACTGAGCGAACTGAGCCCACCTCCAGCTTCTGTTTGTGCAGTGATACCACTCGTACGACATTGAATCTACCTGCTGAATTGCGGCTCCCAGAGCATGGTGCCCATCGTAACATCTTCTGATGAAGCGTTTCGCCACTCCAACTGAGATCTATACAAACACACTACGTGAACACATTTGGTCAATATATCATGTACTCAGTGGCGGCTCGTGGCGCAAATAGATGGTGGGGCTAATATGAGAGTGATACATTCTTATAATAATAGTAGTAGGTAGTAATACTGATAAAGAAACAATTTCACTGATTTTACAGAGGAACACGCTTTCTTCATTACTAAGTTTAGCTGATGAGCGCAACAGTTAATGAAATGTGCATGAGGAAATGTATATCTCTTATCTTTACCTGGACCCCACTGTTCCCGCACAAAACGCGGGAGCGCCATCATAGGATTTAGCAATTCGTTTTTGTTCAAGGTTGTATTGTTCTAATTCTTGTTTAAGTACTGATGCTAAACCTTCTGAAGTTCGATCCTAAACGTGAACAAAGGAAATGAATCTTTCAACAGGACCACTGCTATTGACATACCGTAGCAGAATAACTAATTGGGACATGCATGACACGTCAGAGGTTTCATCTGCCTCGACAGCTGCATATTTTGCATTTTGAATTTCTTGTTTGACCGTTTCCTTGTATACCGCATATAGCAGGGCTTGAGGTGGGGCGGGATGGTATCCCGGTTCTTTTCTAAATGGCTTAAAAGCATACCGTTACTTCTTTGGCAGTAAATGCCTATGAATTAGAAGGGGAAAACCATCCCGGTTCAATTTTCATTCCACCTCAAGCACTGACTATAAATATAGAATATGCTACAGCATCCAGTGCTCACCATTATCATCATCTGGAAAGCAGTGCGTGTTGACAGGCATTCCTGCATTATGACACTGCAACAAACTGGTTAAAATAATTTTGTCACCTGGGTCAGGGAGAGCCACATTACAGTGAAGACTCTAATCAGACTTAGCTGTCTACCATGATTATGCTGCTAGATTAACTGCTAGATTAGTATCCAGACTACAGAAACAGTACAGTATCTGCATACAGTTATTAAGATTAAGCATCCAAGGAAACAAGTTATAAATAAACGGTCTGAACACAAATTCGTAATTACAAAGAGAACATTTAATTATTTCTTATTCACTACATGTTTCAACCATCTCGTGGTCATCATGTGAAAGGCATACATAATGCAAGCAAAAATGGTCTGTAGTGGAAACATAAATAGCATAGAATGCTAAGTGAAAAACTGCTATGTAAAATATGATAACATTTGGGGAATTGTAAATAAACATAATGCTCAAAGTTAGGCTTCTCTCCTGTCGAGTCCCGCTTGGCCTTCAGCAGTGCTCACTTGGCTAAGTCGATGTACTCTTCAGCCACCTCCACATCAGTTGTGTACTCCTTGTCCTCTAGAATATCCCGGATATCACTGTCCAATGAAAATAGTTGATCTAGGGTCTCCTGTAAACGGTCTCGGTAGTACTCAATCCTCAAGTGGGGTGCTGGCAGTGGATTTCCTTATAGAGGTACTGAACTTTGTCACTTTTGCCCTTACTGTGGGGCGCTTCCTCGTTAGTCTTCCGAGTTCGGAGTCCGCCATGTCGAGTTGTATCATATGTATCCCACTTCCTGGGTTTCGGCACCAAAAAAGTCATGAATAAGACCTCGAGGGGATATCCTTCCGACGGCACCTTATTACTATCTGAATGTAGAACTGTCCGTCTCTCTGTCCAGTTCAACCACTATCTTCTGTCGGCGCTCACTGCCCACTCTGCACACAAGAACTTTCTTCTCTCTGCCCTCACAGTACACTGCTAGTCACACATTTTGTCTCTCAGCCTTGTAAGAAGCTGTGAGCTCATCAAAAAGCTTACTGTTCATCCCCATGAAGGTTTTGAGCACATTGTACACAAGAGCCACAATTTTTTGGTTCCAGTGCTCTTTGCTGATGCGGTACAGAGCTGGGAACATTATTGGCATGATCACATAGATGTTTTCCTCAGTCAGGCTCATTAT